GGCCAAATATTGACACCCTAGGCCTTTCGGTTATTAAGAAGAAGTCGTTTAAAGTAAAATATTGACGCCGGACGCCGGACGGACGGACGACGGACGCCGCGCCACGGCATAAGCTCACTTGGCACTTCGTGCCAGGTGAGCTAATAACCAAATACTACTAATGGATATTTTGTTCGAAATATTTAGCCACTAATTTACTTACCTGTTGAGCAATGTCTCTTGTCAGGATAACTGAGATCTGAAGATATCGAAGATCAAAATATATTTTGTGAAATATTACATTATACCACAAGACTATGTTTACTCAAGCCGTCTATGTATGCGATTTTTATGTGTACTATTTTTTTTTTAAATCTGAGTCCACTTTTCATTTTTTTGTCGTCGGGATATCTAAAGACAAAAGCAGAAAGCAAGAAAAACAAAAGAACCAGGTAATTATATATTCTGTCAACAGATTCAACAATAGGTTTAATTTATTACATATTCATTCCGGTAACAAGTAACACATCAAAAACGGGTCACTTCATTTTGATCACATACACTGTTTGTATGGTTTCCTTCCCATCGCTACAACATTTACACATCAAACAATACAGGGAATTCTGTTTCCTTGTTTATACACATCAAGTACACAATAGTCTACAATACGAAGGGGAACTTTCTCACTACTAGTCCTTTCAGTGATCTATTTCATTGCAACAACAAAAAAATAACAAACAAAAAAAATCTTATTTAGCTCTGATTCCTGTTATTTAAAAATGTCTTTGGGTTATGGATATTAAATGATAGTGTTGTTTTACTTGAACCAAGTGAAAATGAAACAATTCCAGGTTCTATGATAAAAGAAAGAAGAAAAAAAAGAATATACATTTATTATTGAAAATGCGTTTTTCACAAGAAATTTCTTGAATGGAAATGTACCATTTAAAACTGTCTTCACAGTGGTTTGTGACTTGTGGGTTCTTAATAAAATTGTCCTAGTAACTGATAGTTAATTGAGCACAAGATCATTAATATAATGAGCTTTATCAAAAGAATGTTTATTGTTTCTGGGACAGAAAATTCTTTACAAACATTCCATTGTGACCAGCTAATCAAAATTATAGCTGTTTCCTGTCAGTATGTGCATTCTCATAATAAATTGACATGAAATCCCCTCATATAAACACAGGAACTGGCCTAAATTCACAAAGACTGGCCTGAAACACAGGAACTAGCCTAAAATACAAGGCAGATTATGACAATCAATTATTTCTGAGATGAATGTGTTTAAATTTTGAAATTAAATAAAGGATCTGACGAAAGGATCTTTCATTATTCTATGATCAGCAAAGAAACATTTAAACATTAAAACATAATACTAACTTTTCAACTCCTCGCTATAGTTGTTCAAGGCCAGTTTGCTTGGCATAATATGAAAACAACATATCTGGTGGGCTAGTTCATCTACAAAATCATTCAAAGCTAGCTTTTAAGCTAGTCAAAATTGATAACTCATTCCGCCTAGAACCAAGCTTTCTTAACCCTTCAAACAGATTATTAGTAAAAGAAATTAACACAAAAATCAAGTGCCTGTTGCCATGATTACTGGCAGCATTGATTCCCTGACAACAGGAATGAAATTGAAGAAGTCCAGCTTATTATAGGCATTGACAATGTTAACCCCACTGGATCAGAACTCCAATATGACAATAGCAGTTGAGAGTATTACACATACAGTTATAAGGGATCATTGCCAAGCTATGAATTACAGTGGATATTATTAAAATGTCCACAACCAATGGTACCAATATAATGATACTCAACACTTATATAAGGTAGAGTTGATTGATTAGCTGTTCCTATTACAATGCCTAAATGACGACAATGTCTAGAGTATGTAATAATACCAGTATATATACAACACATGGTTATTGACAAAGTCTATATAAAGATCATGTTACCATAAGGTAGAGTTGATTGATTAGCTGTTCCTATTACAATGCCTAAATGACGACAATGTCTGGAGTATGTAATAATACCAGTATATATACAACATATGGTTATTGACAAAGTCTATATAAAGACCATGTTACCATAAGGTAGAGTTGATTGATTAGCTGTTCCTATTACAATGCCTTAATGACGACAATGTCTGGAGTATGTAATAATACCAGTATATATACAACACATGGTTATTGACAAAGTCTATATAAAGACCATGTTACCATAAGGTAGAGCTGATTGATTAGCTGTTCCTATTACAATGCCTAAATGACGAAAATGTCTGGAGTATTTAATAATACCGGTATACAACACATAGTTATTGACAAAGTCTATATAAAGACCATGTTACTAATCACAACCAATGCTACCAATATGATGATAGGGAACAGATGGATTCATAAGCAGGTTCTATTGCTTGCAATCTCTATTTAACGACAATGCCTGGACTTACAATAATACCACTGTGCATTTCATAATCATCTATTAGTACATTATATTTTGACTAAACATTTTATAATAACTTAGTACACGAGGTAGTATTTTTACCCAGAACTATTGAGATTGATTATCAAAGGGAGGCAATAATATAATATTCTGTAATACAATGCAGTATCCTGAAAGGAGCTACAGGTTTCTGTTAATTCAGGACAATTCATCAAATGTATTCAAATGTTTATAGTACTTCACCATCAACATGATAGCTTACAGTGGTTCAACAATGAAATTAAGATCAGAAACTCTAGGAAAAGCATCCTATCACCAATGCCATTTCTTGCAAAAGGAAACATAAATTTGTTTCAATTAATATTTTATGCAAAATTGAATAAAATTAATGTGTTCTGAATGAAAATCATCTTTTATGCCACAATTAACATCCTTAACTTGGCCTGCTTACTTTGGACATATTAACAAGAAATAACTTAAAATGCTTGTACATTGTGTATAACATGACAGGAAACAAGAACAACTGAGGAGAAAACAAAACTAACAGAGTTACTGCCCCTGACAGAGAAATATCAATCTGATGTTTGGTCTAAAACAAATTCAATCTCTATTCCATAGTTGGCATAAAACCATATTACGTCGGCTATTAGTCTGAGCATGGTTTGTCACTTGGGAATGTTAACATTATAATGTATATATATATATATTTTTACTCTATATTTACTTTTCTTCTGTCAAATAATATATAACCTTTATACATTATAGTAAGTCCCTGATTGAGCATTTCTAAAAAACTGGAATAAAATCCATAGTACCTAAATATAAGTAGATTGATTTGTACATGTTAACAGATTTAATTAGGACAAATAATTTTGATAGATCTATACATGTAATAATACACTTATCACAATTATATTAATAAAATCACAAATATAATGCCCTTTGACCCTTTTTTCATTCATTCTAAATTCTTTACTCTAGTAAACAGAATACTCTTTGGCAGTGACGTCTGAAGGTTTTCTTCATTTCTTTAATATTTCTAATGGTTATTTTTTTCAGCATAAAAGAATTGCTGGAATTTCTGTAACTACCACCTGGGAGATTACTTCAAAAGATAAGTGCCAAATACCGGTAATAAAATAAAATTTGGCGCTTTTGATATAGAATAAGTCACTGCCAGGAACATATATAGTGGTTTTATATGTCTCTGTATAAGGCAATATAGCAGGGCACTAGCACATGTCAACCTGATCAAGTGGTCAGATACATTAGGATACAAAAGATAGCATATTGCTATTATTAATGCTCAAAAAAATACCAAACCTCAGCAAAATCCCATCTTTAAAAAAGGATACAAAAATGCGAATTATTTACCAAGCTGTTGTGATTGTTATATACCCAACATCAGATATTTATTATTTTTCACCAGTAAAACCCAAGCTAAAAAAGATTCAGTGAATAATGTGTCATACCAAAAGTCATAAACTTTTTGTTAAGTTGTAAAATTTAAGTGAATATCTGTTGAAGGAACGTGTACTAGGTTACTACATGGCCAGACTCTACCCAATATGAGGTTATTATCCATAAAATATCTAGTTATTAGGAACATAATATAATCCATATTTAGACTATAGTTTGCACTGTGTTTGTATCATTGTACAGAAGTATCTAAAGTCTATCAAGACTTATTTGTTAAATGGTCAAACACTTTTGTTTACACACTTAAGATAGCTTTTCTGTATTACTTGAGCATTTCAAAAGAATGTTATGTAAGGGTAGAGAATTGTAAATCTACAGAGTTAATTACAGTATCACCATCTGACTCTGTCAGTGGTACTTTTCAAAATCACAGAAAATAAATTAATAAGTTATTTTAAGCACTTTTAAATTCTAAAACAAATTCCAATGCCTCTACCTATTACATAGCACAAGCTTGACACCTGAACATCATTTGAGCATTCTTAATGTCAAACCTTAATTCACAAAAGTTTGACTGCCCCACTATCCTAGGTGTCATGATGCCATTGCTGTCATCTACGACTTTTCAGGACTAAACATAACTTTATTTATTTTACAACAATTTTGAAACAAGTTTTTGTTAAAACCACTCAAGGAAAGGTTTTGGACAGGGTCACTCATTTAATACATCAGGCATTAAGTCAAGTAGTCACAGTTACTGTGTAACACTTAGTTTTCAATGCACACTGCATTAAGAAAACGAATAGTTTCTAGATTTAAATGTGGTATGTAAATGAACTTTGACCTCAAACTGTGTAATTTATCTGAACTTAACTTAAGACTGTTTGATTTTTGCATCCCTTGATGAATAGGCAACATATTATTTACACTTAGTACATACTTACACGTAGTACAAACTTACACGTAGTACATACTTACACGTAGTACATACTTACATGTAGTACATACCAAGTTAATAAAGTTTTCTCTAAATATCACATAAAACCTCCGTTTTGTTTTCTCTTCTACTGAAGTATGGTGTCCAGAGTGTTTAATTGGAAAAAAATGTAACAACGAAATCACTTGAGCAGACCATACTCACACTCTCAATCAAAAATTATACATTAGAAAAACATGTCATCGTCAATATCAAAATCGTCATCATCTTCATCCATTCCCTCGAACAGACGATTATGGCACTTACTACCAGGCTGGTTGAAGTGTTTGTATGGGTTGTTGCGAGACAGCTCTGACATACACAACCAGCAGAAATAGGACCGGCACTTCATACATGTCATCTTGTTACATCCATCCATTTTCTGTAAGTGCAAAATAACATACATTCTGTAAGTGAAAAACTATACATCTCCCAACTTATACTGTAGGACACTAATGAAGAACCAGGAATGCCAACATCTGTATAATAGTCAATTTTAGAGTAACAAGTAAAATGTGGTAAACTTACATGTATATTGGTGATGTTTACCTGTGTGTAGCTGTCATATCTGTATGATCACATTTACCTGTGTCTAGGGGTCACATTTGCCTTTGTATAGGTGTCATATTTACCTGTGTATGGATTCATATTTACCTGAATGAAGGGGTCACATTTACCTGTGTATAGTGGTCAAATTTGCCTTTGTATAAGAGTCATATTTACCGGTGTATAGGGAGTCACATTTACCTGTGTGAAGGGGTCATATATACCTGTGTATAGGGTTTAAATTTACCTGTGAGTAAGGGTCACATTTACCTGTGTATAGGGGTCAAATTTACCTGGGTATAGGGGTCATATTTACCTGTGTATAGGGGTCACATTTACATGTGTGTAGTGATCATATTTACTTGTTTATTGGGGTAGAATTTACCTGTGTGTAGTTATCATAATTTACCTGTGTATAGGGGTTATATTAACCTGTATATATGGATCATATTAACCTGTATATATGGATCATATTTACCTGTGTATATTGATCTTATTTACCTTAGCAGAGTGATCATATTTACCTGGATATAGGGGTCACATTTATCTGTGTATTTGGGTCACATTTACCTGTATGTAGGGATCATATTAATCCGAATAATTCGGACTAGGGTCATATTGACCTAAAAGTAGTTGTGAAAATTGTCCTTTCCTATAGGTTTATAACTATGAAGGGGTCAGATTTACGGTAGGTAATGGTCAGGTTTCCTGTACATAGTGTCCAGAGTAGTGAGATAATTAGCCTGATATATAACCATGTATGTATAAACATGGCGCCAGAGAGTAACAGTGGCTGCTGATAGAACAATGTACCTGTATATGTGCTCCACACCCAGGACATTGCTTGGCGAAGCTTTCCATCCAATCGTTGGTGAAGGCCTCCTCCAGGGCCTGTTCTATAGTCTTTTTCCCATACTTCTTCTCCAGAAACCGCTTATTTTCCTCATCTGCATTCTGGTACTCCTCTCTCAGCTTTTTGAAGCCATCTATAAATTAACACATCATAAGCATATTGACTTTCTTTATTGTCAGCTCCTCAACATTAGGTAGAGATAATGTACATGGTTGTAAATTAAACCTTACATACTGGAGGTTTTCTAAAACTGGACTGACTGTTAAAATTTAATCAAACATTTATTAAGTTGTTTGAATGCACAAGTTGAGTCACTATTTGAATTAATGATAACATTTCTAAAGTAGAGATTACAATGAAGTTTTAAACCTGATGCTTGTCATTGCCACAACACATACATGTACATTTATCATCATTAAATTTCCTTTACTGTGATGAACATCTTAAAGTAACTGAAAATATTTTTTCATTGTGATGACAATCTTCCTTATTTGTTATGACACATCTCAAAAAATAAAGAAATGAAAAACCTGAAGTCTCTCGAATGTGTTTACAAATCACCCAAGAACAAAAGGTGCCCTTCACTGTGATTTAACACCTCTAACAATATCACATTCCATATCAGGTGCAGCAAAGGTACCCTTCCTTGTGGTAATTTTCCTCAATACTTACCAGCCTTCACCCGACATGGCGACTTTCCGTGGAAGACAAGTTTACACAGAGTACAAAAGGAGTAGCTACATGACGGACAGGAACCCATGTTGCTTTCCCGGTCAAGCATAACTGGATATTGACACGCAGGACGTGGGCAGTACATGACATCTACCATCATATCAAGACCAGTCCGGAGCAACAGTTTCTCATACTTGTCAAAGAGCTCTTCATTAACGAGGGCCTTTACCTGCAAACAAACACAGTCTACTTCAGTCACCGCCTATTGACACCACACATTCAGAAGTCAATCATCAAACAACCATCTTCTATAGTACAAGATTTTAGTCCAAGTCAAGTTTCTTATTAATGACAAGATTTTAATTATCAAAGTGCACAGGTTGTAAACCAAATGGTTGATTAACAGTTGTATTTAACTAACAAGTTTGTAATTTAAAAGGCAGGCCTTAAAGGTGTTAAACATTGGCAGTTTCATTATAATTTGTTTTCTTTATGATTTACCTGAGAGGGATGAGCCTGTGATTCACACTTTTCATCAGGACAACTCAGGGCTGTTACATTTCCCTCCCCGATCTGTACTGTAAAATAGTCCTTCATACAATCCTTACAATACACATGGTCACAGTCCAGAAACTTTATACACGAGGATCCCGGTCGGTCCGAGAAGCAGACTTTACACTGGAACATTGTCTTCTCAAACTGGCATTGCTTCTCCTGTTTGTCATAGTCTAAGACGACTGGAATGAGCCGGTCCCGTGAACCAATATCCTGTATAGCTCTTGGTTCAGTGTCCGAACCTTTCCGGCTATCAAAGGCATTTGTTAAGTCTATAGTGGACTCTACACCTAGGAATTCCATAGTCTCCTCTGCCAAAAAACTTGTCCACATGAACAAAATTTCATTGCCCTTGTTTTCCTCCCAGATCTCGTCAAGCTTGTGGCAAAGGGCAGTCAGCTGTTAATAGTAGTAATCAGTTTATAAAAATATCAAATCCATGTTTATAAGTATAGAAATTTTCTTTTTATATTTATCTGAAAATATCAGGTATATAATATGTAAATAATTCTCAGTGAGACTGCTGTTATAAATAATGTACACATCATTTCTATACATGTCTGTCAGCCTGTCATTTCTTTCACATTTTTTTTTTATCTACTATGTAACTTCTCTGTTTCTAAATTCATGTTCAACAAACTTCAAGTTGTTTTAGGGTACTGTAAGTAATATATGAGACTCTCCTTATAAGGCTGTAGCAGTTGTTTTAAGGTACTTTAAGTAATACATGAGACTCTCCTTATAAGGCTGTAGCAGTTGGTAAGAGGAGCCAAAAGATATTTTTCATGTCATTCTGTCAAGGTCATTCAAAATTAATTCCTCTTTGATTAGCTGATGCTTTCTAGCCTTATCTTCACAAAACTTCACAACAATCTTATAGCTGGTAAGAGTAAGGCACAGAGTTAACTTTTCAGTGTCATTCAGTCATTGGCCTGTGTCACTTATGATTATTAGATTGTCTCATGCTCAGGGTGTAGATGAGGAATTTCCACCGAAGGGGTTTTCAAATTGGATGAAACCGGAGGCTTGGGATGATAAACAAAATTGCAAGACTGTCTTAAACTGCACTGAATTTAGTAACTGGTGGATTGCAAACACCTCCTACTTGAACTTTCACCTACCCAGTATTTTTTTTCCATTCAATGACAATATAAATGCAAAGCAGATTACCAGTTAACATTTAATCTGCCCAGATCAGATCACTATATTTCAGTTATTGAACAAGTACATACCTGTTTCCTGTTAAGCCACTTGCAGGAGAGTGTGAACTGTGGAGGGCTACAGGAAGGGTAGTCAGCAGGTAGCTGGAAATTAAGTATCACCGGTGGCAGGAACTTCACCTCGTGGACCTCCTCTATAGACTTACCATCCTTGTTTCCTGGTAAAATAGTTCATCATCATCCAATCAGATAAACAAGTCATTAACAATAATTGTCATCATACACTGAAGTGTTATCGCTTTCTCATATATATCAACACAAGTTATGGCTGCAGCATCCTCGATACTCTAGGGGTTACGCTCATTTTTGCGCTCTGCACCCCTGAAATATGTCATAGCAAAATTAAAGGCACGAAGAAAGCTGTTTGATTGGTCTCATGTAAAAAAAAAGTTAAAAAACCCTGACCAGTTACTAGACTGATACCTGTCCTTTGAAGATTACAAAGGAGCGGCACTCGACTTTAAAGCTGTCAATTTTTACTTTAAGCTGTCAATTTTTACCGTTCTGTGACAGTGAGATTCTTTTGATGTAATTCAAAGGATCGCACTTCTTGTCTGATCAACAAGGTGGCCCACACCGAGCCTTCAATTTTGTCATGACATATTCCAGGGGTGCAGAGAGCGTAAGCCAGCGTAACCCCTAGAGTATCGATCGCGAGGATGCAGCCGCAGCAGCAGTTGTTCTTTCCACAATAGCATTAGACAAGAAATTGAATTCCATGATTTCATGTAACAAGAAAATTTCACAATTATATCATGTGACACGTACAACAACTTTTGGTAAAATTTTACAATTTTGTATATGTTTCCAATTGAACAAAAACAATTATATTATACACAAGAATGGTGATATGACCAGTGTTTCATTTAGCTTATAATTATCAGTTCAACATCAATTATACTTACTACAGGAATATTCCTCTTCATAATAATGTTACTCCCTATTCTTAATGAAGAAGTATCTATATTCATATTCAATAGCTAACATATAAATAATGCAATTACTAAGTTAAACAATAAAGCTTTTACCTGATTTTTCTCTCCGGCTCAGAATCTTGATAGTGGTGTCAGGCAGATGAACACTGGACAGAAACTGGCCGCCCACATCTTCCGCATCCTGGGAGATGGCTATGACAGGCTCATCATAGATACTGGTCAATGCTAACAACTCATCAGCTTGGAGTTCCGTGTCAGTCATCTTAGCAGTAATACTTTTTAGTCAACCATAGTAAGGTGCTGAATCCTTTTAGGAAAATAAAGTTTTATTAGTTAGGGTGGAAGGAAGGAAAACACATTATATGTGTTAAAGGTATGGGGTCACCTGCCAGACCACGTGGGATGGCAATAGCTGCTCACATGAGCAATCATGTGAGCTCAAACTGTAGTTGAAAGTCACATAGTACGGAACCATACCTTCCAAGTCACCAGTATAAGACAAGGTGAAGATGCAAATGATCTCCTTGACCTGCTCAGATTTTTATATACAGCGCTTTTATGTATTACAGGTGTTCATGATATTGTGAAATTTTGTTATGTCACCCTTTTAAGTGTAACAAGACAGAGAAATGCATGGCCATTGCTTTGAACCTGTGAACTTCTGAACTCTTAGATTGACAATTGAGCTAGCTACCTGCAGGTTAATTGTCATTGATAGACCTAGACCAGTTCCAACCCATTCCTCCCTCCTTTTTATAAGATTCACCCCTTAAGATAACAGTATTTACAACCCAGGTTTGGGTATCCCCTTGCAAGCATTTGCTCACCACTTAAAACAAGAGTTTGTCACAGACACTACTGTAACAGGAAAGGAACAAGAGGCCCCAAAATGCCTGTATTGTTCACCTGGATATTTAAGCAATCATTGGAAAATAGTCTCATTAAAAGTATTTTTGCAAATATTTCCACATACTCTTTAAGAATGGTTCCAGACTTAATTATTCAGATTGCTAGCTTATTCTGTACTGAAGGAGAAATTTAAACATTTTTCTCTGGTAACCTCTATTGAGCCCCATCCTGCTGCAATTTGATGAACCAGACCCTCCCTTTATGCAACGTTGTGTCCTCTTGGTCCAAGGATATCTCATACGACCACAACTGGCTTATTTGTTTACATACGTCCAAGATATATATATACGTATAGTCATACATTATTTGACTTGCCAGTTATCCTGCACCTGTTCACCCAGTGCTTGAAACAAGGGTTGGCGAGCTCGCCAATTTTTTATCAAGAGAAAGAGAAATGCAGGGCCAGACCGGCTACCCATTTCATTGCAGCGAATCCAAACTTGACAGCTATATATGCAGATCATAAAAAACACATCAATCATTACGCAAGCAAGAAAGCATACATACATGTATGTATTGAAGTGTCGAAAGAATTAGTTAATAAGTTTAGGGTAGATCTACTGTAGACACTAGACTTTAGAAAGAAAATATTGTCAGCCTTTAAAGAGATTCCCAATTAATTATGTTTTAGTGTCTGTCTTATTCTTCAATGGAAGAAGACTACGGTACCTGCTTTTTGGAAAGATCACGGGAGTATGCTCTTCTAAAATGACTCTACACGTGATTTCAAGTGGTGATGCAAGCTATCACAATAAACTTCTAAGCCGTGCTGAAAGTCGTGCTGACAGCCGTTGACGTCGTAATTTCGTGATCTATGTTATATATATGCTTTGGACACAAACACGAACCGTGTGAAGCGTTCGAGAGATTTTGAATCGGCCGATAAAATTAAAGCCAAAATGGGGTCAATATATCCGGATCCGTTATCTTCAAGTATCCCGGTGAAACGGTTCAAGTGGCACAGAAATATCGACGATAAACGGAGAAACTGGGACCGAACGAAGGCAGAAATAAAAAAAAAATGCGAAGTTTCGAGAGATTAGTGAGAAATAAATAGCACTAACGTTTGATATCAGTTTTGTAGCTCTCCTTTGTACACTTTTAATGAAATCAAGAAAGATTAAGGATTTTAAATTATCAAATTTAAAACATAGAAATATAAACTAATACATGGATACTATGACACTTCTGTAACAGAAGGCTTTTTAAAAAATATAAACCAGAGCAAACGAACAAGAGGTCATCGTCTTCGACTTGATAAAGGAATGTCTAAATTGAACTTAAGAGAGTACGTATATATCCTTCAAAGAAAGAGTGGCCAACCATTGGAGTTCCCTGCAAAAATCACGTCGTCACATCACAAACACTAAAAACGTTTGAAGCCCGACTGGATAAGCACTGGGGGAAAACCAGAATGTTTTTACTTATTCGCTATCTGGGCATCCAACACCAGATGTTTTACATTTTGACAAATGGATTATTGTGTGGTCATTTGCAAAATATATAACTGCTTGTTGAAACTCTGGCCAACTCAATTGGAGATCATTTGTTTGTTTTAAAATGTACTGAACATTTCAAAACCTTCAAAATCTTCAGGCCAAGAAATGAATCTTAGGAAGAAAGATAAACTGTTCAGTTTTTTGACATTCTCATTTATCATGCGCCATTAACCGAAAATCATGTTGAAATCCAAGATATTGGTGGGAATGTATTACAAGCTGTACTTCATCAACTGGCTTAGTTTATAAAAGGAATACATTTGAATATTCAAATATTAGGAAATCCAGAGACATGAATGCACACGAAGAAAGATAAGCTGTTCAGTATTTAAAGCTCAGTTTGGACTCAGCTGATCGACGATAGATAAATGGTAATATATTTTGTACAAAAGCCGTGAATTATAAAATCGTTTGATAGAGTTCATCGCCATTGGTATTGCTTCATAAATGCGAAATATTCAGTATCTCTAGACGATTTTATTCTTGAAAATATAGACCGCAATAATTCTTCTGTGTAAATTGAAGTCCCTGATCTAAGGAAAACCCACATCCCCGTTTTAGAGCACAATTTCGATATAGGCCCGTGCAAATTAGTTAAGTATTATGTTTGGGCCTATCCTGATGTGTAGGAAATATCGAACGTTCCATGGGTTTGGATTTTACACTTTGAACTTCCAATCATTGGGAAAGGAATGCTTTTGGGCATTTTATACGGAGAGGACATTCATAAATTCCTCCTGATGACCAAATCTTATTATGCAATAAAATATTTTGGAATAAAATATGAACATAATTATCTATTAGACCTTCGTTCATTTTTTCCATCCGTCATACATAAACTGCTTTTCAACAAAAGCATTGCCTTACTAAAGACAGTTAGCGTTGACGCTGAAGCGATGACGTAGTCCTTGGGCTCCATGTTAGATTGTTCCAGTCAAGCATATAGTTCGTTGAAAAAATACTTGTACCAATTAAATAAGTTTCTGACAAAAATCTTAATTTTCAGTGTTATTTATATCCCAGTCATCTACATGAGAGGGACATTTCAATTAAAAAATATATATAAAGAATGTAAAATTTTAATGCAAATATCCCCTTTTACTAATCTTAATTACTACTTGCTCCCCGCTTACAAAATTACGTGCTCCGAAACGTTTCGCTTTCTCTAGGAATTGCGGCAACTGCACTCATATCTATGAGATCTGCCGCAGTAAATGGAATAAGAAGAAGATCAGTTCGCCCATAAGATACTCGTGTAACTAAAACTTGTACGCACGTGAGTATAAATAGGGTCTAATATCTCGAGATATTTCATGTCAGTTCTAGATCTATATTTACATTATAGGTACATCAACTCTTTTATTAGCATTTTGATAGATATAATAATTTAGTATAATTTATATGGTTAGGCAAATATTAGCATGGCTGATGAAAAACAACAAGGCTACATGTAGTAGCAAGATAAGCAATTTAACAGAATAAGTTAGGCTGCAACGTCTCAATCAAGAGTCAATCCGACTTGAACAAAAATTTGTTTGATCTGGATAAAGAAATATCCCATTCTTTTGCAACTAAACTTTTTCGTCAGTTTATTTTGTCTTACAAGCAACTTCATTTCTGTTTCCTCCAATCAGATGATCACGTGATGATGTTCGTAACTAGTTTGACTTTTGAACTCAATTCTTCTCCAATATCATTATAGACCATAAACATATAAAAAAAAGACTGAGCCCTGTCTCTGTCAAGTTTCTAATTATATCATATCACCCATAATCACTCTCTGTCTCCTATTGTTGGATGGCAAAACATGTATAGGGTTTTATACTTATATACAGTATCAAACCAACGTGTCAAACCTCGTCAAAGGCTTTGTGTATCACAAAAAATAATTCTGGCTTCTTTTGCCTTTGTCTGAACGGTTTAACAATTTCATCACACATAAATAATAATGATTAACATTTCAATCTTACCTATATGATATTTCATTTTTTTATTGGTTTCAAAATCTTTTCTATAACTCCTATTGGTCTATAATTAGGGGTCGCATCCACCACCCTTGCCATTGTACTCGGGTGTTACATGGATATTTTCCAATGTTATATATACAGCTTACCGGTGGAAATATATTTACAAAGTATAATAAAGAGAGACCTCACAAGAGTTTGTCAAGCCCCCTGTATGAATTTAGTAGGGATGAAGTTAGAAATAACTGACTGAAGTCCGAATAAGTTTTTGACGGGGCGTAAATATCTCTGCTTTAATGAACAAATTGAAAGGGGCATAGGTATTTCCATGTTGGTTTGTTAATGTTAAATACAATATGTGTATACAGTTAGTCCATAATTTCCTGTCCGTTATATTGTTTGCTGAGAAGTTATGTTTGGATTAGGGCTTGTCAGAGGGTAGCTATCAGCAGGTTGTTATGTGACAGATGTAGACTCAAAATAATCATTAAAAGATTAAATTTTGTCGATGGGATGTCACTGACAACCAGAGAAAAACCACTTTTATTTGTATGCCTCCCTTTCCAAGTGAAATAAATGTTTCAATAATACGTGAGGATTGTAGTTTCAATAAGTATCTGACTTTGGCCTCTTGTAATAAGAAATTCACTTTATTTCAAAAAATTGGTTGAGGGTATATATAATCTAAAAGTTTTGTTTTGTTTTTTTAAATCAAAATGCAGTTTGATGCCGAATCCAGAAATAGAAGCATTACACCTACCCAACCTCAATCTGGCTAGATCAGCTAACAATGGTTCGTCATATTACGGTGTCGATATAAATAGGCTATTTATATGTATTATAATTAACACCCTTCAGACATTTAGTTATAATCCAGCTAGGTGTTCAGTCGCTGCATGTAAGTATTTCCGAAATCTGTTAGGTTGTATTAAGAGAACGTGCAGTGATACTTGAAGTAAAGAGAAAATAAGAGAAATGTTTTAGATAAAATTGAATAATTAACCGTAACTGTTTATAGCTGCATTATTGAAGAATTTGTTTTGTAACGTCATGACGCATATACTCTTTCCTCAGGTGAACCTTCTTAATGTACATGTACACCGGATACGATGGAAAAAACTAAAGAACAGAAAAAACCTAGACATTCTAAAGCAAAAACAGTATCAAAGGAAAGGAAGTCACGAAGACTTAGGAATTTTTTTTCTTGGTTTCGGGGACATCGAAAAAGGAAAGATTACGACAAGTTGAAATCCCCTAGTGAGAATGTCTCGTCTTCAACTGATAACATTCCAAACTGGTCTGGGGAATCCGGTGTGGTTAATCAGGCATTCCTTCTGGATAATGTCCAAGTAGGGGGAAACTGTCTCCGGGCAAGCCTGACATCTGTTGTTACAGCTGCTAACTCCGACAACGGCAATACCACGACAAATGACGTGGATGAGTGCATGTCTGAAGTCAGCGCCGCCAACTCAGATGAAAGTCTTTTACAGAATGAAAGACCAGGATATATCGGCATACCATGCAGTCCATGTTATCGTCTACAGAATACGATCCAGGAACTTTCCAACGCGGTAGCTCGGTTAGGCTTAGAGAAGGAAAAACAACTTCTAATTAAGCAATACCAACGGGAAATTCACCACGTCAGACTTACCGATGAATGCAAGATACAACAGCTTGAAAAAGAGATTGGAAAACTAAACGCCGACATCTCATCGTTGATGGAGGTAAATGCCTCGCTGATCAAAAAGGGTCTGTGCACGGAGGATGACAATTCCAGACTGCAAGATGAGCTGCAGGAACAACGCATAAGATGTTCAGATGTTGAAAGTGAAAACACCAAACTTCATCAGAACATGACGATCCTAATGCAGAAACTTGGTAAGAAAAAACGGGAGCTTAGCAAGGAAAATGACAAGAACACGTCAATGTAGTATGTTGAAAGGAAGTAGCAAGTTTGACACCCAGTGTCGATGTAATACGGTGTTTTCATTGTGTTTTCTCGTGACAAAAATATAAGTGAATGATACAAATATGCAAGTAGGTTCAGCGATATAAGTTGCATTCTCATTGATATTATCAACACGTATAGAAAGACAACACATGTTTAGTGCTAAAGACGACAATAAGTGTTGCTGGTGGAAAGCAAATTATAATTGTTGTGTGTCAATTGAAGTGTGCTTTCTGCTTGAGAATATTGTAAACGGTTGCTTCGACGCGCATATCCGAATCTATAAGGATATATAAATAGACCATTGTACTATATTGCATTCTCCTATAAATAGATGTAAAGGATTTCCACTGTTTTATTGAACATAGAACATGGCTAATTGCCATAATAATACGTCAAAGGACATAGGGATTTCGACTTGATAACGTGAATATTAAACATATCTTTATATCATATATATGATAAAAAAGGTGAGGCTTCTTTTTTCGGTGTAATTAAAAGGTTAGACATCTAATTGAGATATCATTATTAGATGTACACTGATAAAATATCAAATGTTTAACACGAATATTGGGGAAGTGTGTTTGACCGTATTTATGAAAAGATCTATAAATATATTGATGTAATCAATGAGGAAATTTTCTATAAGATTAATAAAGATATGTCGAACAAATCCTAAATTACATCACGATATATTCTAATCACGTGGTGATTAGATGGAGGGTCTTATTATAAAAGTAACAAAACATAACACTGGAACTGGACACCCCGTAGGTAATCTATATGGAAATAACCGTTCTATGAGAAGACATTTAATTACACATATGTCGTCATTTCCTTATATAAGGTGAGCTTTGCCTACCTACACAATATATGTGTTTACGGAACATTGTCATCCATGACTAAATAATACCTGGAGGTTGCACCTAATTATGATTACTTAGTGTGTTTTTTTTCTTTTTATAATTTTGATGTGTTTTGTTAAAAAGTATTGAAGGCAAATGGAAAAATAAGAGTCATTACCACATTGCCTCTCTATTTCCCAAAGATACAAGTTAACAAGGAGAGGAATCTACCTACTTTTCCCTTACCATGTGATATCATAAGAGGAACCACCCCATTACCCATGATAACATATGAAACCCTTTGTTCATCCATGTATGACATATACTACCCATTGCCCATGATAACATATGAAACCCTTTGTTCATCCATGTATGACATATAATACCCATTGCTCATGATTACATATGAAACGCCTTGTTCATCCATGTATGACATATACTACCCATTGCTCCTGATAACATATGAAACCCCTTGTTCACCCATGTATGACATATACTACCCATTGCTTTTTCTACTATAAGTTACCACATTGATTCTCTATATTAACGTATTAAAGAGAATGAAATATAACCCTTGTTCTACTATAGTATAGGAGTTTATGGTAAAATGAAATGAAAACACCCCGTAAATTAGTATATAGGGTAAACTTATGTTTATTAATACGAAGTTTATTTGTGTGTAGGGTAAAAAGGAGATAATTAAAATTCCATTGTTTCTCTGCGATATAAAGTAAAAAGTAGAAGAACCACCCCGCCCACCCAGAGCGAAATCAGATGCTCTAGAAACTAAGCATTTTAGTACTACTGGTGACACCTGGTATGATGTCTGCCTTCACACACAGGAAAGTATACGTCCAAGACGATGTTAGACATACTGAACAATGCAGAATCATAGGTACATTGTAGTGGTTAACTTGCATAGTTATCTCCCTTGGATCAGAATTTCTAATTGATATCCATGTTTCTAAAATTAAATTAAAGTTCTATTAAAAGTTAAATAGCCGTTCCTCCTCCCAGCCTTCATTGTTTTAAACAGTTGCCTCATTTGATTTACATTTTTGTGGTTTTGATTTATTTCAAATTTATTTCAACATCGTAACAACCTGGTTCGTTTCTGTTCATTTCGCCATTGACCCACTTGCACATCTTCTATGCAAATTCTTTTAAATAACTTAATAGAATATTGCTATATTTGTAACTAGAATTAGTCATGTATCTCTATAGGAAATTGAACAAGTTGAAACAAATATTTGAGAAATCTACAGGGTACTGACTGGTTATGAAAACATGAGAATATCCTATTTGGAAGGCGCTTCTTTAAAGTACACACGTTATAAAGTAAAGATATTGCTAAACACATACAGTTGCAGTTTGTAAGTTCTAAACTTCAAGTGGGCGTTTTTACCATCAGTTTAATGTGTCAATATCATGGCATGCGAGAACGTCCCCCATCTAGAAGTAAATAAAGTCACAGTAACTATATTTTGTTCACTTAATATTTACTGTTCTGTTTCTGACAGTTGTAAGACCAGTTGACAGTTTTGTTTTCTGTTTTGTTGAAGCTAGGACAAATGTTTATATAAAACATTAAATGTTACATCATTTACAGTGTTCTTTGTTTCCTGTTTGATAACCTAGAGTGATGTTACAGTACGTTTAACGATACCGTACCATAACAATCACATGGAGACAGCTCGTCTGAGACCCGCCACACCTAATGGTAACACACCTTATGGTTAACACTTCATTAAAAGCGATGTACAGTGTCTCCACACTGTTATGAGCTGTCATTGGTCTCATTCATGGAACACATTCTATCTAAATATTTGTGAAAATTTGGTGAAGTACCCGATTACCTTTGGCCGCTAAACCCGGTAGGTATCACTAGTCTGTTCCAAGGACACGATTTGGCTTATATGGTGAGATTTAATTGTTTTTAAAGTGAACGAAGATATGTAAATGCTGTCTCTTTGGGATTGTTTAGACGGGTTGGATACCAACATTCATGTTCTTGGAATTTTTGTTTGTTTGACACGTCGAAAATTGCTATAAATGAAACATGTATTTTCCTTTAATAATTTCCCGTAACAACATACTTTGTCAATCATTTTTGTTACAACATGGGCTGGTAATCATGAATCTGTGTGCATGTTCTTATACCGAAGCATGAATTCTGTATTCAAAATAACTTTCATGTAACTGTTCTTTATGATGTGACACGCTTAAACATTTAAGTGTAAACGTTGAAATCGCTATTTTGCTTCATGCTTCTTCAACTATCACACAACTCATTGATGTTTTTTTTTATTGACATGTTGCCGGAAGAAGAAATTATACTTGAGCACATATTTTGAGTTTGAGCATGAGAATGCATGGTTTGATGAATACATGCCCTAGATTAAAAAAAATGCGTTTCTGTTACTACGACCTAATCATCTTTATTTGGTTAGATTAAGGACAGATGTATTCAATGTTATCATATATAAAAAAAAGTTTGAAATACTCATGGTCGTTTCTAATAAATCTTCAAAACATATTATTTCTGTCCAACCCATGACATGATTGACATGGAGTAGATTATACATGTACAATATCTGAGGATGTTTCAGCTGATAGGTTACTGTGAACGTACACATTTTAGCGATAGTTTATTTTATCGCTTGTTGTGCGTTTCTGTTACTACGACCTAATCATCTTTATGTGGTTAGATTAAGGACAGATGTATTCAATGTTATCATATATAAAAAAAAAGTTTGAAATACTCATGGTCGTTTCTAATAAATCTTCAAAACATATTATTTCTGTCCAACCCATGACATGATTGACATGGAGTAGATTATACATGTACAATATCTGAGGATGTTTCAGCTGATAGGTTACTGTGAACGTACACATTTTAGCGATAGTTTATTTTATCGCTTGTTGTGCCTATCGCGCTATATCATGATTTTGACAACTGAAACTGTTCCTGTATGTTGTTTTCCACGCCTTTTTGTGAGTTTGCCAATTCATTAATGTCCTAATCGGTTAAAATTCGACAATCAATTTTTGAATGCCTTCTGCGGAGAAAAAATGAATAGCTCATATGAAATAATCGTTTTCGGGGGCTGAATCCTGAAGTTAAAATAAACGTCATAAGCTCACTTTAATTAAAGTATGAAAACATAGGTGATGCAATATAAATGATATGCCAGGTAACTAGGGTGATTTGTCAACCTACGCTATACAGCTGTTAGTGGCATTATGACGGGCACCACACGTAGTGATTGGCTCTAGGATGACTTTCCTGATTTTGTAGTATCGCATGCATTGCATGGAATGGAGATCGTCACTAAATTATTATTGTTTTAAAGTTCAACTTCCTCCTTCAAAGGTGCTTTAGTCACCCGAAATAACAACCGAAAGTAAAACCAACGGTTGTGAGACGTGGATAAATAGATAAACTTATTAATCGAACATGTAGTAAAATTAAAGCTGTCTTCATTTTCATTAATTAAAATATCTCATTTATTACGCCACAGAATGTTATGAATCTTATATAAATTCATTTATCAACATAAGTCACCCAGTCTTTTTTCCTGTTTCTTGTTCCTTATGTGTTAAATATATTACTGGGGAATGTTACTAGGATTTCAGTGGTTCGGTTGGCAACGCCATTAGTGATTTGTGACCAGTATGGTTCGCTACACCTAGTATAGGAGAAAGGATGCCCTGTATGACCTTAATAAAACAATCTGAGACCATATGATTTCGTAGTTCTCAGTTGTATCGCAAGAGATATTAACATACTATATTTTGTTTAAGCATTAGCATTAATGCCTCAGTATTGGTATAATTGATGTCGCTATATATCATTTTAATAACTAATGCACAAGCTGAATATATCCAAATTATATATATTAATTCCGATGTTTGATTGTGATTTTTAAATATAACTTGTCAAAGGTTTCATTTTTTGAGTGATGAATCCAAGCCTCTACATCTACTGAAAACCTGCCAAGCTCACAGTCTGAATATTCCACCGAACTTATAGCGAAAGCGCCTTTTTTTTTTAGGTTTGATCGATTGGAATAAGCATCTGGTTTAACGCATGCTATCGGCGTTTAACTTTAAAGTCTGTCGACCTAACAGTGGCGCGGAAGGAATCCATAAAGGATAAAAACACGCAATTTGTTGTGAAATGAAGTCATATAAACACCCCATGATCAATGTGTGCATACCTATAAAGAATATCCGATCTTGTAAGAAAATAAAGTATGTCATCGTGCTTATAATGTAGGCGTGTGGACACTGTAGGTACGAGAAAGACATTCCTTACATTTCACTTGGTGAAACGACATGCTAACATATATTTGTGTGTTATGGTGGAAAAATAACCAGAGATAAATGTTGGAAAAACAATGTCCTTATTTAATAATGCTTGCGACTTTCGTTAACTATTTTGTAAACATTTCCTCATCCTTGTTATATATTCCACTCTGATACAGGCACATCTGTTGATTATTTTTGTGAATTATCTGCAACATTTGTGTAACTGAACATTTTGTCTGCTGTAATATTCAAGAACGTTTGCCGGTTACCAGTGATAGAAATAAAGTCAATGTAAGTAATCAGGGTATATATTACAATACTATAGATAACAGGACATATCTGGCCATTAAACATTATAAAGATACAGTGGACATATTTGTAACCAGGGTATATCTTACAATACTATAGGTAACAGGAAAAACATGTACCTGGCCAGTAAACAATATCAAGATACAATGGACATATTTGCAACCAGGGTATATATTACAATACTAAAGTTAACAGGGCATAACTGGGCAGTAAACAATATCCAGATACGATGGACACTCTCCGTCTCTTATTGCTAAAGTAAGATGGAAATATAGCCAACACATTGTCATATGTTTATACTTACATATCAAACCAACGTGTCAAACCTATATCACAGAAAATAATTCTGGCTTCATTGCCTTTGTCCAAATGATTTAATAATTTCATCACATATAACTAATATTGATGAACACTTTAATCTGACATACAAAACAATGTATATGATTCTTATATTTGTTTTCATTGTAATTTTTTCAAAACATTTTTCTATTATTAGGAGTAACATATATTGGTCTATACTTGAGGGTCGCATCTACCATCCTTGCCACTATACTCGGATGAAACATGAACAATTTCCAATGTTATGTATAGCTTACCGGTGGAAACAGATTAATGAAGTATGGGTAATAAAAAGGGACCTGGTAAGAGTTTGTCAATCCCCTTTTATGAGTTTGGGAGAGATGCAGTCCGGAGCAACTGACTTTTTATTTTTTTTGATGGGGCGTTGACATCTCCGCCCCATTAAACAATTTTAAAAGGACATAGGTATTTCAATATAAAAGTGGTGGTGTGAGGCCCTGTATGTGTGTAATGTTAGTCCATAATTTCATGTTCCGCAGGGGCCTAATATCAGTAGGTTGTTTGGTGACAGATGCAGACACGAAATTACTCAACGTTGTCGATGAGATGTCACTGACAACAAGAGAAAAGTCACTTTCGTCTTTGGGTTTTTAACTGTTTTCGCCTTTCCAAGTGATATACATTTTTCAATAATACATGCATATTCAAATTATCTTTATCATATATGTGATAAAAGTAACGTTTTTTGTCGCAAATTCCTTTTGGCTTTGATTCCATATAATTAAAATCATCTGTAAGGCTCCGTTAACTTCGTACTACGCCTGCGGAGCCTAGTAACAGATGATTTTAATCAGATTGGCTTTGAGTCGGCCATTTTCAAATTAATTTATGAACAGATCTATAAATAAATTGATGTAATCGATGAGAACATAGTCTATTAATAAAGAAAGATCCTAAATTACATCACGATATATTCTAATCAGGTGGTGATAAGCTATAAAGGTCATACTATTATAGTAACAAAACAAAACAATGAAATCGGAAACTCCGTAGG